ACCGGCCAGCAACCGCACCCAAATCACAAACGCGACATCGACCAGCAGCAGCACGACAGAGCTTCAGCGCCCGCACAGCGGTCCTCGACCCCAGCTGGGCGCACACCTCCAACAGTGCAACAGCAGGGGATGCATTCGCGTGCGCAAGCGTCAGGGTCACCCCAGACCAATTCCCCCAGGTGGCGCTGCAAAGGCCTCCGTCCTGTTCGACCGCGCATCCGGCAAGGGCACTGCCTGAGGCCCAGTTCGCCACGCCCGTATGGTCGTATACTCCGCCCACCTGGAGTGGTCGGACGATGAATGTGCCGTCGGCGCGTAGATTTTGCGCGCAACGCAACCGACCCGCACACAGCTTTCTGTTGCGGGAGCCATGCACGTGGGCCTCCTCCAGAGTATGTAACGCATCGATCCTAGTTTCACTTCGACGCACGACGACCACGGCTCCCTGGCCCCCTCGTTCCATCTCGGCGAGCGCTTCTTGCTGCAGCGTCCGCGATGGAGTGCGACCGTACCTTGCGCTGCTGTTCACTCCGTCAGCGCGCGCCCCATGGAGATCACTTCGCGAACCTCCGCGAACGCCAGCGTCCGCCGCGAGGTCGGAGGCCACAGGACGTGACGCCAGCGTCGCCGCCGCACTGGGCGCACCCTTACACGCGCCGCGGTGCAAGCCACGCCCCCAGTCTGAAACCTCCACGCTGCGTTGCGGCCTCGCAGGGCCTTCATGCTTGATCACGCCCGGCCGCGCAGCTTCGTCGACAGTAAACACATCGCGCTCGTTGCGCAATTCCGCCCAGCACCAAAGACGCTGCGAGCCTCCACGGCCAACAGTCACCTCGAGTTCTCCGATGTGCACGCCAAGGCGTACCACCGTCGTCTCAGAGCTCCGAAAGCAGGGCCGCCCTCCTTCACAGCCCCCACTTCGCAAGTCCGAAGACCTCGGCGTTTCAACCCCGCCGGCAAGGGCCTCGGGTGATTTAAGTCCTCCCGGTACGGACCTCAGCGTTTTAAGCCCGCTGGTAAGGCCTCGGTTTGATTCGGTCAAACCGGTGAAAACCGTTTCTTCGCGTAGGTGCGCCATGGCCACCCCGCGCGGCCGCCCGCCCAAAGGCCACGGGCGCGCCCAGGCCCGCGGGCTCTGTTGCAGCCGCTCAAGGCGACGACGAGCCTTGAGCCAAAGCGCGCGGCGAGTTCCTCGACCCGACCCTCCTCCTCCGACCCCCGCTTCGTTTCAGTTATTTTCCTCCCGTTCTTCCTCCTCCTCCTCCTCCTCCTCCTCTTCCTTTCCCTCTCCCTCATTCCCCGGTTCTCTTCCTCAACCTTTTTTCCCCCCTCTCCTCCTCCTCCTCCTCCACCTCCTCCTCCTCCTCGTCCTCCTCCTCCTCTTCCTCCTCCTTCTCCCTTTCCTCCTCCTGCTCCTCCTCCTCTTCCTCCTCCTCCTCCCCCATCCTCCACTTCCTCCTTCTCGTTTCTTCTCCCTCCTCTGTTTCCTCCACCTCCTCCTCCTCCTCCCCTTCCCCCCCCTCCTCCCCTTCCTCCTCCCCCTCCTCCTCCTCCTCCTCTTCCTCCTGCTCCTCCTCCTACTATCCTCCACCTCCTCCTCCTCCTCCACCTTTTTCTTTCCCTCCTCCTCCTCTTCCTCTTCCGCCACATCCTCCCTGTCTGGCCGGTCAGACAACGGCTGACTCCGAACGGCTTATACCACGAATAAATGGGCGACCTTTCGACGGCGCACCAGGACGCAGAGCCCCTTTGGTAAAAACGCAATTCAATGAGCAGACACACATATGTCGACATACAAACATTCATAAACGTGACACGAATGCACCGCGCGGCGAGCTCCGCATCCTTCGCCCATTCCTCCTCCGTCCGCTTCCTCCCACCCCTGGGCCCGCACCTCCTTCCCCGATTCGCCTGCTCCCCTCCCTGCCTCCCCGGTGCTCCTCCTGCTCCATATCCTGATCCTCCTCGTCCTCCTCCTCCTCTCCTCCCGCCTCCTCCTCCTCATCCTCCTCCTCATTCTCCTCCTCCTCCTCCTCCTCCTCTCCTTCTCCTCCTCCTCCTCCCTCCCCCCCTCCTCTCCCGATTTTCCTCCTCCTCCTCGCCCCCCTTTTCTGTGCTCCGCATGCCCCCTTCCCCCCCCCGCAACCGCGGGAACCTTCTGAAACGGTCGAACAGCGAACTCGCCCTGGATCTGTCATTGGGACTCTGAAAGCTGGAGCCTTTATCAGGGAAAATCGACGGCGCATCCTCTACCCCGAAGCGTCCCGCGCATGCGTCACATTGCTGCGCAGCGCGAGAAAGCATAAGGACACCGGACTCTCCAATTCCACGAACTACTCCCACATCGCTGGCATGCCAATCCTCGTGTCCGCTCCGTCTTTCAGACACCGCCTTTTCGCCGTAGCACCAGGTATCGGCGACGCCCTCACAGGAAGCCGCCTTGCCTACAACTGCGAGGGGCAAGCGTTGCCGTCCAGCTCTCTTCCAACTACTCCGACTATTACAACTCATGCTATTACGAATACAACGATGGCCCCCCTGGCACGCCCCGGCCCCGGGAGCGAGGCCCCGAACCGCGGAGGTGCCCCTCCAGAGCGAGCCTGGCAACTCGAAGCACGGAGAGAAGGGAAGGGCTTATCCGGCGACCCGAAGCAGAGAGAGGGAGAGAGGCGGTGGGAGGGGGAGGGATGGGAAGGGCTTCTCCCCCTCCCTCCCCCTCCCTCCCTTTCCCTCCTCCTCCCTCTTTCTCCCTCCCTTTCCCTCCCTCTCCCTCCCTCTCCCTCTCTCCCTCCCTCTCCCTCCCACACCCTCCCTCTCCCTCCCCCTCCCTCCCTCCCTCCCTCCTCCCTCCTCCTTCCTTCTTCCCTCCTCCCTCCTCCTCCTCCTCCTCCCCCTCCCTCCTCTCTCCTCCTTCCTCCTCCTCCTCCCTCCTCCTTCCTCCCTCCTCCTCCTCCTCCTCCCTCCTCCCTCCTCTCCTTCCTCCCTCCTCCCTCTCCTCCTCTCCCCTCCCTCCTCCTCTCTCCCTCCCTCCTCCCCCTCCTCCTCCTCCCTCCTCCCCTCCCTCCTCCCTCCCTCCTCCCTCCTCCTCCTCCCCTCCTCCTCCCTCCTCCTCTTCCCTCCTCCCTCCTCCCTCCTCCCCTCCTCCCTCCTCCCTCCTCCCTCCCCTCCTCCCTCCTCCCTCTCCGGCTCCGGCTCCCTCCCTCCCCCTCCTCCTCCTCTCCTCCTCCTCCTCCTCCTCCCTCCTCCTCCTCACTTCCTCCCTCCCTCCCTCCCTCCCTCCCTCCTCCCTCCTCCCTCCCTCCCTCCCCCTCCTCCGTCCTCCCTCTTCCCTCCTCCCTCCTCTTTCCTCCCTCGTCCCTCGTCCCTCCTCCCTCCTCCCTCTTCCTCCTCCTCCTCCTCCTCCTCCTCCTCCTGGTCGGCCGCGGAAGGACCGGGGGCGCCGCTCTCTCAGCGCAGAGGCCCCTCGTGAATTACAAAGGATCCGCGCCCTCGGGGCCACGACGCCTTCGTAACTCAGTGGGGGTGCGCGCTGCCGGGGCGGGTCGTTCCTTACAAAAACAAAAGGAAGTGCACGCCCCGAGGGCCCCCGCCGAAAATCGTCGAATCCTGGCGGCTGTCGGGACACACAATGACAACGCAAGATGGAGTGGGCCTCCCGCGCTCCCAGGGCCACGATCCCTGGGGAAAACACACTCACAAGTGAAGAGCTCTCCTAGAGAAGGAGGAGGAGGAGGGAAAGAGGAAGGGGGAGGAGGGAGAGGAGGAGTAGGAAGAGGAGGAGCAGGAGCAGGAGGAGAAGGAGGATGAGGAGGAGGAGGAAGGGAAGGACGAGGAGGAGGAGCACACACCTACGACTCCTCGTACGTCTATCCCTACAGCTACTATTGTTACACCTACGACTACTAGTATTACTACTACTACTGCTACTACTCTTACTACTACTACTACTACTACTACTACTACTACTGCTGCTGCTGCTGCTGCTGCTTCTGCTACTACTACTGGTACTACTACTACTACTACTACTACTACTGCTGCTACTACGGCTACTACTACCACTACTACTACCAGTACTATGATTACTACTACTAGTACTACTACGACGACGACTACTACTACTAGTACTACTACTACGACTACTACTACTACAACAACAACAACAACTACTACTACTACTACTACTACTACTCATACTACTACTGCTACTACTAAAACAACTCTTTTCACTAATACTACTCCTACTACTGCTACTACTACTACTACTACTACTACTAATACTACTACTAATAATAATACGACTACTGCTGTTACTAATACTACTTGTACTACTAGTACAAACTACTACTAGTACTAGTACTACTACGATTACTGCTGCGAGCACGACTATTACTACTACTACTACGACTACTACTACTACTACTACTACTCCTCCTACTACTAATACTACTACTAATAGTACTTCTACTACTACCACTACTACTACTACTACTACTACTACTACTACTAGTGCGACTACTACTAGTAGTATTACTACTACTACTACTACTACTACAACTACTACTACTACTACTACTACTACCACTACTACTACTATTAGTACTACTACTACTGCTACTACTAGTACGAGTACAACTAGTACTACTACTACTGCCATGACCACTACGACTACTACTACGAATACTACTACTCCTACTACTACTAGTACTACTACTACTACTACTACTACTACTACTACTTCTACGACTACCTTTACTACTACTCCGACTAGCACTGCTACTAGTACTACTACTACTACTACCACCACTACCACGACTGCTACTACTACTACTACTACTACTACTACTGCTACTACTAGTACTACTACTACTAATACGGCTACTACTACTCGTAGTACTACTACTCGTACTACTACTCCTACTTGTAGTACCAAGACTACTACTACCACCGACATCAGTCTTACCCACTAGCAATCCTTCTAGGACGTCACACTAGCGGCCGGCTCACCGCGGAACCAACCGCGCCCGCAACTTCGCGTCGCACTCCGCCTTCACGAGAGCCTGGAGATGCTGCACCTCCCTCTGCAGGGCCTGCCGCTTCTCCATCTCGATATCCCGGCTCTCCTCCGCCTGGCGCGAAGCCATGCGGAAATGCCGGGAGTGGCGGGAGAGGAGGGCCGCGAACCGTAGCAATTCCTGACATGCTTGCTGCGATCCGTCCTCCTCTGACGACAATCCCTTTTACCGCCCTCGTCCTGCTCCGCCAGCTGCTCGGCGCGCGCCCGCTTTGCCTCGGCGAGCTCCCGCGCCTCCCGCGCCTTTGCCACTTCTTTCTCTCCTGCTTCGCGCGAAGCCGCCGCCTCCTCGCGCGCCCGGCGCGCGTAACTTTTGGCGGCGGCTGTCAGCGCCCTGGCCTTCTTTTGCGTCGCTTGGGCTTTCTCCTCAGCTTCCCGGGCCCGTTTTTGGCACCCTTGCGCTGCCTGTTTGGCTTTCACCAGCGCCTCCAACCCATGGGCGAACCTTTCTTTGACCACCTCCGCCTCTTCTTCGGTTTTCCTCTGCGCCTTCTTCGGCTCGCCCCCGCGCTCCTGTTCGGCTTCCTGAAGCTGGTTCCACTTCGGCTTCGCAGCCTCCTTTTCACGCCGCCGCTCCTCTTGCTTGTGCCTCTCCTGCCTAGCTTCTTCTTTCTCCCGCGCCTTCTTCTCTTCTTTTTCGTTTGCCTTTTGGGACCTCTCTGCCTTCCTGGCCGCCCTCGCAGCTTCCTGCGTGCGCACGGTCTCCTCGAGCGCTTTCGCCGCCGCGACGACAGCGCCCAGAGCTGGCGCCGCCGACGCCTGCTCCTAACGGAACACCATATTCCCCGTCAATTTCAACCCTGTCGGCACGAAGTGAACGCGCCTTCAGAGCCTTTGCCTCCCCTTTCCTCAATCCTCTATCCTACTCATTTCTTCACAGCCCGGACATTACATTGCTAAAGCTTTCGGTGGTTTAGGCGTGCATCTGTCGAGTTTGCCGAGGACCCGGCGGGCCACCCGCGAGACCTCAACCAACGAACACGAAGCTTCTGCCCAACAACCCAAACACGGCGGCGGGATGAACCGAAGACCAGTGGGATACACAAAAAAATCCACTTCGACGATTTACTGTATTCTGTTCCCCTTTTCCTGCTGCGGCACTGCGGGCACCACGCCAGGTTCTGCCGGGAAGCTTCTGCCCAACAACCCAAACACGGCGGCGGGATGAACCGAAGACCAGTGGGATACACAAAAAAAACCACTTCGACGATTTACTGCATTCTGTTCCCCTTTTCCTGCTGCGGCACTGCGGGCACCACGCCAGGTTCTGCCGGCGCCGCCCCAGCCGGCGCCAATCGAGCGCCCGGCTGCGTGTTCCTCCTGCGCCCCATGGGCTCCGACGAACGCAGGATAGCCCAGCTGAGCCGGACAGCGACATCGACGACAGCAACGATTATGATGAAACGAAACAGAGGAAAAGAGGAAGAGGAGGAGAAGGAAAAGAGGAGGAGCAGGAGGAGGAGAAGGAACAAGAGGAGGAGGAAAGGACGGAGCAGCGGCGCGCACCAAAGGCTCCGAGTCTGGTCAGAGTCGATCCACGGCATCCTCCCGCGCTCCGTCCGACGAAATTCTGCTCGAAGCTGGCTCCCAGAGCTCTCCACGGGCTTACCCGACGCTGTTCTCCACTCGCGGGCCCGACTTTTCAGAAGCCTCCAAGGCCAAAAAATACGAAAACACGATTACAAAAGTAACAACAACTACGAAAACTGGATCCTAACGAAAAGTCCGTCCAACCCTAAGTTCCTCCTCATCCTCCTCCTTTTCCTCCTTTTTCCTACTCCTCCTTCTTCTCTCATCCCGTTGTCCTCCTCCTGCTTCTCGTCCTCTTCTCCTCCTGCTCCTCCTCCTCCCTTTCTTCCTCCTCCTCCTCTTCCCCTCCTTCTCCTCCACCTCCTCCTCATCCTCCCCCTCTTCCTCCTCCTCCTCCTCCTCCATCCCCTCCTCCTCCTCCTCCTTCTACTCCTCCTCCTCCTCCTCCTCCTCCTCCTCCTCCACCGCCTCCTCCACCTCCTCCTCCCCCCCCATCCACTTCTCCTATTCCTCGGGGGAGCCGTCGCCATTCTCGGAAAAAAAAAAAGGGGGGGGAAAAAAAAAAAAAAAAAAAAAAAAAAAAAAAAAAAAAAAAAAAAAAAAAAAAAAAAAAAAAAGGAAGGAGGGGCGGAGGGAGGGGGGAGGAGGACGAGGACAGAGGAGAAGCCGTTTTAGGCGTTCTCCGGGAGGGTCCCCAAAATTTGTGGTAGTGGCTCCTTGGTGCTGTGTCCTTCGTGCCTTGGCAATGGTTCCTCGGTTTTGCTCTGTGGTTCCTTGGGATTTGTTTTTTCGGGTTCCCAATGCCACGCATTGCCTGTCAATGGCACGCAATGCCAAGCAACGCCTTCTGATGCTATGGAACGCCAACAGATGCCAAGCAATGCTAATTGTCTCATTACGAGGCTTCCCAAAATTTGGGCACGCGCCAGATTCATCCGCCCCCTTCCCCCCCCCCTTCTTCCCCCCGCCCCCCCCACCCCACACCACCCACCCTCCTGTCACGTAATCGTGAAACCCTCCAGCGCCCGTCCTGCCGAAACACACCCCTGCGCGCGCGCCCCGCAGAGAGCGCGCGCGCCTGCGGACGTCCGTTGGACTCGTTGCCGCCCCCGCTTGCCAGTACCTCGCGCCAAAGGGGCCGCTCGCCAGATCTTTCCTTCACCGCTATTCACGCGCGCTCCCCAGTGTGTTCCGAGATCCCACCATGCTCTCTCGAGACAAATACTGACCGAACGAGCTCGCGCGCGCCACCTCAACAGACCTCCGCCGTGCGTTTTTCGAATGCACCACACCCCAACGCGGTCGCTGCTAGCTGGCGGCACGTTTGTGCTCCAGGTGGCAGAACTCGCAATCGGGGCCCTTCGTGCAGGTCTTCCGAACGTGGAACCAGCACGGCCTGCGCCCCCGGTCACATAGCTTTACCAACGGACCAACGCGAGGACCGCTCCCCTGATGCTACTGCCTGTTTGGCAATCGGCACGTGCGTGCACCCCGAGCAACGCGCGACACGGTGCGACCCACTGGCACGAACCGCCTCCCATGCTCTGTGCTCCCGCGCCTCACCGCGTCCAAACGTTCACGTCTGCAGCCGCCGCCCTTCATGGACAACACTCCAGACAATGCACGCGCAAAGCAACGGCCCCGACAAACAAAATCCCCCAATCCCACGCGCCGGCAAAAAGGATGAACGTACTCGCGCTTCATCGCCTCAGCCTCGTGCGAGCCTGGGCAAATGCAAGAGCACGGTAACAATACCTCGTCACAAAAACGTTCTGACGAAGCGCCAAGAAAACACCACAATACATGGAAGGAAATGAAGAAAACAAGCCTCAACGGGACGCTGCGTTGTAGCAGAAGCGTTGGACAGCCGCTCTAGTGCCTGCAGAACTCCGAGACTCATCCCAAGCACCTCTGAGGATCGTCGACAAGGATTGCGCTTCGCAAAAAGAAAGCGCCGCGAAGCCATCAGCACGCAGCCGGTTCCGGAAACGTCACAATCAGCATGGGTTCAGTCGGTGCACAGACGCGCACCTCCACGAATCCTGCACATAAGAACAGTTCACTTCCCCAGCCACCCGTGCCGGGCGACGGGCCTGGCTCTGCCGCGTCCTCCTCGGAGAGCTCGACCCATGATCGCCCTCGGAAGCGGCTTACTGCAGGGTCCTCGGTGGAGCTCATCGCGGCTCCACCGCCCACCGCCACCTCCTGCCAGGGCGGAGCGGAACGAATGGTAAAAATGGATCGCACCAGCAGCAGCAGCAAGCTGGCTGGAGCGAACTGGCCGTGCACAAGCCCACTGCTATATGATTGGAGACGACCTCCGCGAGACCACACAAATCCCCCTTTTCCTCCTCCTCCTCCACGGTCCTCTCCTCCCTTTCCTCCTCCTCCTTTTCCTCCTCCTCCTCCTCCTCCTCCTCCTCCTCATCCTCCGCATCCTCCTCCTACTCCTCCTCATCCTCACTCTCCTGTCCTCCTCCCACTACTCATCCTCCTCCTCCTCCTCGCTCTTCTGTCCTCCCACGCCTTTCTTCCGCTTCCTCCTCCTCCCCTCCCTTTCCTCCGCCTCCTCCTCCTCCTCCTCCTCCTGCCCTCCCCCTCCTCCTCCGGCGACAGGGAAGGAGGACTGAAAGGAAGGACAATAATACACGTATAGAATGCAATTTGATGCGGGCGTCGCCAGTGCCAACGACTGGGGAGGCCAGGCACGCGAAGAGCGAAAGTTTCTGAACGGACGAGCCCGCTCTCCGCAGCTGCGGGGCCATCGCCCGTGAACGCCTCGGCTGGCACGTGCCGGACGGCGTTGGCGTCCACCCCGAGCGCCTGCGGCGTCGGGGAGGCGAGCAGCGCGCGCGGCCGGGCGCCATTTGGCGGCCGGTCGGGGGAGGGTTATTACGAAATCTGGAGTACCCAAACCCCCTCGAGCAATGAAGAAATCAGGACGGGAGATGTTTCGCCATTGTCTGCCTCTAGGGGCCCTCGCCGGGCCCCGGGACCTTCAAAAAACGGTTCGGGATGAGAACCCTCTTCTGGGGGATGGGCCGAGACTCTGAGGAACCTCGCATTGAGAGAAATCACGACGCCGGGTCTCTCGGCCATGCATCGCCGATAAATCGGCGATGGGCGACCCCAGTCCCAACACCGCACCTTCCTGGGCGGGCTGGACTATCGGGCCGCTGTCGGCAATCACAGGAACGGAAATAAACCATCAACACAAACTTGTGGCGCTCCGCGCGGATTTCTTGGATCTGCGCTGCACCCTCCCCCCCCTGCACGGTTCCCCCGGGGCCGTAGGCGACCCAAGGAGGAGGAGGAGGAGGAGGAGGAGGAGGAGGAGGAGGAGGAGGAGGAGGAGGAGGAGGAGGAGGATTGTTGGATGGGGGAGAAGGGGAAGGAGAAGGAGGAGAAGGAGGAGAAACTGGAGGAGGACAAGGAGAAAAAGGAGGAGGAGAAGGAGGAGGACGGGTCGCCTAAACCCTTCGGAGAAACCCTCCACCCCCCCTTGGCGCGTGGAGCGCGCCAGTGGCGGCGCCAGCGGTGCCGCCGGTAGGGGCCCAGGAGCGCAGCGCCAAAAGCTTATGTGTATGGCGTTTTCTCTTTTTCGATATCGGGCCCCTGTCGGCGAACAGCTGTTGGCGACGCGCACAGGGGGGTGGAGGGAGGAGGAGGTCTTCTTCGAAGAAGGCTGATTCTCAGGAGGCGCCGGCCTTACACCTGGAGGAGGAGAAGGAATAGGAGGAGGAGGAGGAGGAGGAGGGAGGAGGAGGAGGAGGAGGAGGAGGAATAGAGGAGGAGGAGGAGGAGGAGGAGGAAGGAGGAGGAGGAGGGAGGAGGAGGAGGAAGGAGGAGGAGGAGGATGGCGGCCCCGGGGGGGGGAGGACACTTCGAGCGGGCAGCGGCGACGCATCGCCGATGAGTCGGCGACGGGCCCCCGGTCCCGAAACCGCACCTGCCAGGGCGGGGAGGACTAGCAGGCCCCCCGCGGCGGTGAATGGCCGAGTAGGGGTCTTCCTCCTCCTCCTCCTCCTCCTCCTCCTCCTCCTCCTCCCCCCACCTCCTCCTCATCCTCCTCATCATCATCACCATCGGCGGTGAATGGCCGAGTGGGGGGTCGATGCATCTCTCGGCCGATCCCCCCCACTGGCCATCGCTCGGACGTCCATTTCCTGACTTGCCTGGGCGGGAGGGACTAGCAGGCCCCCATCGGCGGTGAATGGCCGAGTGGGGGGTCGATGCATCCCTCGGCCGATCCCCCCCCTGGCCATCGCTCGGACGTCCATCTCCTGTGTTTTTTGTCGGTTTCGTGCGTGTTTTTTTCGCCACATGGTCGAGGATGCTCCTCGATTGTCTTCGCCGAAGGAAAAATGCACACGTCCGAGCGATGCCAAGCCCCCCAACGTTGCCCATCAAGGAGCGGCCCTGGGCAAGAGTGGCCTCTGGTGCGCGGCATCTGGGAGCTGGGGGCGACCGAGCGAGGGGTGCGTCGAAAAAGGAGGCTCGCAGATCATGGCCCGAGGCATGTGCGCTGACGAGCGGGGTAATTACCAAGGGGTCGCATTGCAATGAAAACTGGAGCATGCAATCCAGCCCGGGCCCTGATAACCCCCCCTCGTCATCACCCCCTTCTTGGCCGCCTCCAAGAGGGCGCGAGGGGGACCACATCCCAGGGCGCTGGCCAGTGCTAGACCGGCCCCAGACCTCCGACGTCGCGATCATTGTGGCGCCGTGGGCCCCAGAGGCCCCGACATCATCCCCAGGGCCGGCTTGTTTTGATCCGGAACTCATGTTTCTTGATCCCAGGGGTTCAGTCGAGGGCCCCGAGGACCAGAGCTAGACCATCCGCAGACCTCCGACGTCGTGATTTTTGTTGCACCGTGGGCCCCAGGGGTCTGCACCTCTCCCCCCGAACCGGCTTTTGTCTCTCGTCCAGATCATTACAGTCGGATCGTTGACCTAAGGAACCCAAAATAAGGAAAGGGGCCCCTTTCTCCCATACGTTGAACTTCGATTTCCCATGGAAAACCCCAGGAAAACAAAAGGCAAACTGCAGAACAATCAAGGAACACGGAACCCCTCCCCAACAAAAAGGGTTCCTCCTTAGCGCCCCGACTGTACTTTTGTTGACGACCCCGTGGGCGACAGTCCCGAAGGGCAGAGACCATGAAAGACCCTCCGGGCACGAAGCTGTCCACGACGCGGCGAAGTCCGGGACGGCAGGAGAGCCCAGAAGCGAATCGATACATCGATCCACGTTCGACACAAACCACATCGGGGGGGGTCGGCAGCCGAAACGGGAAGAGTCGCATCGGCGGAGATCGGCCGCCGCTGAGGCATCGGAGCCCGAATCGGCATCCCAAGCCGAACCGAATCGGCATCGGAGGCCATCGACGTCGCACCGAATCGGACCGGAGGAGTCGAAACGAGCCCTGGGAAGGCCGCTCTCAGGCGCAGAGGGCGCTCAAAACCCGCAGCCGCTTTGGGCGCGGCGGAGCCCCCGACGAACAGCGAGTTGCCGCAGCAGCCGCCGGCAGCGCGGCGCGGCCGCCGCGGGGGTGGAACGGACTGGTGGCCGCGGGCGGCCGCCGAGCAGCACGCGGCAGGCGAGGCGGGCGGCTCTGGGCGAAGGGCGCCTGGAAGAGGGCCGCTTTGTTTTACCATGCGAACAGGGCGCCCCGCGGCCGAGAAGAGAGGAGGAAAGAGGAGGAGAAAGGAGAAGGAGGAGGAGGAGGAGGACGAGGAGGCGGAGGAGGAGGAGGAGGAGGAGGAGGAGGAGGAGGACGAGGAGGAGGAGGAGGAGGAGAAGGAGAAGGAGGGGGAGGAGGGGGAGGAGGGGGAGGAGGAGAAGGAGGAGGAGGAGGAGGAGGACGAAGAGGGGGAGGAATACCAATGCAAACCCAAGAGTCATCAACGATGTTGGGATAGGCCCTCCTTCCAAGCTCCCTCTTCACTGGCCCCTACAACGGCCCATTTCCATTGAGGGAACTGCCTCTTTGGAAGACACCGTTTTGAAGACCCTGAAGCATGCCGTCACATTGTTCTCGGGATTCGACTGCCACGGATCAACCTGACTGTCGCGTCTTGACAATCCTGAATCGTGCCCAAACGCCATTCGTGGGATTTCACAAAACGAACCATCATAACGGTTGCACCCGCATAGTCCTGAATCCTTTCAAAACACAACTTCTCGCGCGTTGATGATGGAACACCGTGAAACTCGTACACATGTTGTACAAAAGTGTGGGCGGCGCTAAAGCGAAAACCACAAGGAAGAGGAGGAAAAGGAGGAGGAGGAGGAGGCGGAGGAGGAGGAGGTGCACCGAATTAACTAATTTAGTCTGGCGGCCCCAGCGGGGCTCGCAACCGCCTGAAGAGGGTCACGGCAGGGACCCTTCGCGCATTGCGTAGCGCGTCGCGGCAGCAGCCCCGGCGACGCGCCATGACCTGCCACCTTATAGCGCGTCGCGCCGTTCCACGGGAGCGGGGAGCCGAGGACAGGTTCGGGACGCTGACGCTTGTGGAGCCGGGAAGTACTTCGCGTGTGGCGCCGAGGCGTGGTGGGCCAGAACCGGCGGCGCGACACGCTAAGGCAAACCTCCTGACCGTAATTATGGTGCATCAAGGGGGGCTTTGTCTGTCCCATTGCGCCCGCTGTCCGCGACGAGCTCGCGACGAAGCCGCGTCAAATCGCCGTTGACAGGACAGACGAGGTGCCCCCGAAGCTGCGAGGTGAGGTGGGCAGGACCGCCCGAGATCAGCGATGGGCCCTCGATATCCAAACCGAACGATCCTGGGCGGAGTGGGGCACCAAAGGCACCGATCGGCGACAAATGGGCGATTGGTCACGGGGGATATGTCGCCCCCAATCCCAGGCTTCCTGAGGTTCTCGAATGGACAAACAATTTGGGGCCCGACCCAAGGATGTACGATGTGTGGGGGGCGTCCCTCTTCGACAGGTGTGCGTCCGAACAGCCAGAGGTGTATCCCGTGGGGTGTACCCCCGTGTTCTGGGCGGCTGCAATTGTTCGTCGACAAGACGGGGGGTGGGTGAGAAAACTCGCCTGCGAAGTTCGGCGGCGAGCCCGGGAGCGGGTGAGAAGGAGACGGACTTCTTCTCAGACGGCTCGAAAGTCCCCGGGTCTTCTGACAAGTTTTCTCAGCCTTTCCCGAAGACACAGAAACACTTCTCAACGGCCGGAAGGCTTCTGATTTGGACGCCCGAAATGTGCACGGAAAAAATGGGTACAATGCCGAACAGCACATGTTGTCCCAAACCATCAGCGACCGCTGTTGGGCAGGCGGCCCTCTGTCTCAAATGGACACAGGCCGCGGCGGCGCGGACAGCAAGTCCTGATCAAAATGAACAGGAGCTGCTGTTGGGCAGTGTACCCGTTCTTTCCGTGCCCATTTCGTTCGTGCAGATCTGAAAAGTCCCGCCGCCTTCTGAGAAGACCTTGTCGATCTCACTTCCCCCGCTCGCTCGCCGCCGAGAGATTGGGAGTCAAATGGGTTACCATGGGCGATTGGGGCGCGGCGCCCAGCCCACCCGCTGGGCCTCGTGGGCTGCAGCGCCCCGGCTCGCAGAAGGGCTAGGACGAGGACGAACCCGCTCCAAATCGCTCCGGAACGCTCTCGGAACGTCCCGGAGCGCTCCGACCGCGGCGCCCGAGACACCCCCCAGAGCCGCCAGATCTGGGAGCTTCTCAAGTGTATCCTGGCCCGAACCTGGGATGCGACGTGTAGCGACGAGAATTGCAGCACCGTCCAAAACGCTGCCTGGAGCCTATAGACACCCACCACCTTCCCGCGCCATTCTTCCGGCCGGATCGGAGAAAAGGCGAGAACGCCGGGCTCGGAACGGCCCCAGACCCCCGACGTCATGATTTTTTCATCACGTCGACCCCCAAAGGCCCCGACCCTTTCCCCATGATCGGCCTTGCATCCTGAGTCGTTTTTTCGCGCTCCCGAAGCCCGGCAGGGGCCCCCAGAGGCCAACAATCATGAAACACGTGCCGTCGTGATTTTCTCATGACTCGAAAGGGTCTGTGGTTGAGACGCCAGGATCTCGGGGGAAGCCATCCTCGTCCTGGCCCCGCCTCGCCGCCGCCCCGCCGAGCTCCTGGCCGGCCCGCGCGCGCCCAGGGGCGGCCGTCAGTTCGCGGGGCCGCCTCGCGGGGGACCCGCTCGCGGCGGGCTGCGGAGCCACCAAGCTGAGCAGGGGCCGGCCGTCCCAGCATCCTTATAGCTCTACCACGACATGTTCTTTTGAAACCTTCGTGGGCCCTGGAAACGACAGGGCCGTTTTTTTACCGGTTCCGTTCTGCCGTTTCCTTGCCGGTTCCGACGCCGTTTTTGTTACGGGTTCCGTCGCCGTTGTTTGGCCGGTTTCCGTCGCCGTTCTTTGTTTGTTACCGGTTTGTTAAGGGCTTCTCCTGTTCTCCCCCTCCTTGTCCTCCTCCTCCTCCTCCTCCTTTTCCTCCTCCTCCTCCGCCTCCTCCTTTTCCTTCCCCCCCTCCTCCTCCTCCTCCTCCTCCTCCTCCTTCTCCTCCTCCTTCTCCTCCTCTTCGCCCTCCCCCTCGTCACCCTCCTCCTCCTCTTCTTTTCCTCCTCCCCCTGTCTCCTCCTCCTCCTCTTCCTCCTCCTCTGCCTCCTCGTCCCCCTCGTCCTCCTTCTCCCCCTCCTCCTCCTCCTCCTCCTCCTCCTCCCTCCTCCCCCTCCTCCTCCCCCCCCCTCCCTCCTCCTTTCTCTCTCCTCCTCCTCATCATCCTCACCCTCCTCCTCCTCCTCCTCCCCATTTTCCTCCCCCTCCTCCTCCACCTCCTCCTCCTTTCATCTCCTCCTCCTCCTCCTCCTTCTCCTCCGCTCCTCGAGATTCGAGGATCGGTGGTCTCCGACGCGTTCGACTCTTTGGCGACCCGACCTGGCAACGGCAGAGAAATCCACGCTGGATGATACCAAACGAAGCAGCGGGCGGCACACGACTGGAAGCACGTTGGCCTCACAGTCCCCAGGGCTGCAACAATACAGAAGCGCGCGCGCTCCTGAGGCAAGCAACCTCGGCGTCGAGCGGACGGGATACAAGGGAACACAAAGAGCGAGACGAAGAGAGAAGTCATGACAGCGTGGGAAACAGCGACAGCCCCATGATATACTCACGTGTATGTATATACATACACACACATACATATGTATGCACGTATATATGCGGTTGCAGAGTAAGCACTCGAAAAAGGACCGATCGACGAAGCAAATGCACGAGGACTACACACACGTAGCTGTGCAGACCCATGCGCTGACACACGCGCACGCAAATACTCACACGTGCGATGCGACATGCAAGCCGGCAGCAACGACGCAAAAGGAAGCGGAACTGAAGCACCAATCACGTTAAGCAGGCAGCACGCGGACAAAAAAACAAATGGAATACGATGGAAGGTGAGACAGCGGCGGTCCCGCCGAGAACCTCGCCGCCCGAGCAGCGATCAGAACTGGGTGCAGAACGCGCGCCACCAGCTGTACATGCAGGGCTCGTACGCCACCGCTGTTGGCAGAGGAGCCCGTGTCTCTCCTCGTTCTCTTTTCCAAACGCCACGACTCACATGTCCTCATTGTCCCTGTTCCGCGCGAGAGGGTCCTCAGCCAACTCACGCAACCCATGCGCCGCGACCCGCTGCGAAGTCACAACCGCAGACATCGCGAGCCTCATGAACTCATGGTCCCCACTGTTCGAGACCGACTCCACGACGTCGAGCGCGCGGCCCAGGTTGCCCACCGCAGAAGCTCGAGAGCGCTTGTTGGCGCCATGCTCGGTCTCGTACGCCTTCCGCTTTGCGAACTCCTCGGGGGGGGGGGGGGCCCGCGCAACCGTGCCGCTCTGCACGAACGCAGCCTTCAGGGCTTCTAATTCGGACTCCGTCACGTTCTCGAAATCTTGCCGGACCTTCTTGCCCCCTGGCAACGCAATCGTCTTGGTCAAGCGAGAAAGCAAATTCTGCGGGGCCTGCGACTCAACCCAGGGACGGACAGACTTCCGGGTCATTGGCGGCATGTTGCCCGCGAGCGTGATGATGATGCCACCCTCGCGGATCACTGGGTCCTCGACGACCGTGGCAGACTCACGATTATCGCTATTGGAGCCAGACGCTGGGCCACCCTGTTTCTTCCCCGCGGCTTCCAACGTCTCTAACGCGAGGAGGTGCTCAGCCAGCCGCTCAAGGTTGTTCTCGCCGACGCCCTCCGCTGGAACCCGGGCCGCCTCCAAGTGCGCGCGGCCCACGTCTTTCAAAGAGCTCTGGACCTGCTGCACTAATTCGGGATGCTCTCCCTCGGCCGCCCGGCGGGCGGTGTTCACAAGCGAAAGAAGCTCAGTGACGCTCGCCATGACTATTTCCTCCAGCGGCACACGTCTGACTGCATGGAAGCGTGGCTTTCGAGAGGCTAGAGTCTGGGCCACAATGCGCGGCGGACAGAGTCGTACGTCGACGCACGCCCCTCTTTCAACTGACCCCCGAACTCTTGAGGCGCCCGACTCGTCCCGACGTCCCTGTCGACGACCTCACACGTGGAGGACCCGACTGGGGTGTCCACACAATCCAATGGCCTCATGTGTTAGACGCAAGTTCGAGCTTTCCTCACAATGCACATTGACGAACTACTCCCATTCGATGCTTCCTCAGAGAGAGAGAGAGAGAGAGAGAAAGAAAGAGTACGAAGCGCCCGCCTTACGTATATGATTTGAATTCCCTCAGCCGGCGGCCACGCTCGACACTCCCCTCCTCGTCCTACTCCCCCCTCCCATTCCCTTTTTCTTCCTCAACTTCCTCTACCTTCCCCTCCTCCTCCTCCTCCTCCTTTTCCTCCTCCTCTTTCTCCCCTTTGTCCTCGTCCTCCTCGTCTTCCTCC